CACTGTTGGGGCCGGAGTCGCCACCCTCCCCGTCACCAGCTCCGGCCGCCTCAGCCTCAGCTGTGGGCACCATGTCGCCACTGTTGGGGCCGGAATCGCTACCCTCCTGGTTACCAGCTCCGGCCACCTCAACTTGCACTCCCTCCTGGCTCACCGGGGTCTCCTGGTCCCCTTGGATTGGGTCTGGATCCCCTGTGGCAGACATGACGGTCAGCGCCTCAACTGGAGTGGCGACCAGGCTGAGGTGACCACGGTGAAGATGGTGGCTGCGGCTGAGGGGAGGCGAGAGGCTGGCTGCTGAGGGAATACAAGTCTGTCTCCTTATTGAGGAAATAGAAGTCTGTCTCTGAGGACACCCTAAGGTGGGAATGGCAGGGAGCCAATCCCAAGAAGCCTCCTGCCAAGGCTGGCCTGAGAGGACTTAGGGAGGGAAAGATTCCAGTAGGCAGGCGGCAGGGGGCGGAACCGGAAGTGTCTACGAGGGGCTCTCAGCTTTTTCAGTGAGCACTAAGCTCATTTGCTGAAAACTTCAGATTGACATGCTCTGGCCTGAGAGGACTTAGACAAGGCGGGAAAGATTCCGGTAGGCAGGCGACAGGGGGCGGAACCGGAAGTGTCTATGATGGCCTCTAGGCTTTTTCAGTGAGCTCTAAGCTCATTTGCTGAAAACTTCAGATTGACATGCTCTGCATCCAATGAATGATCCAGGCACTTAAGCTTTAAGACAACTCAGAATTCAGAACTCTACCTGTTCTTTGAGGCTTTAGTGTCCCGAGCTACCCTGTAGGCCCACACAAGTCTGCCCTTTTAATTTTACCATGATTAGCAACACTATAGTGGTCCAATGTGGAGGCACTCTGGGTTGGGGAAAGTTATTCTGTAAAGGGCAGAGGGGAAACATTTTAGGTTCTGCAAGGCCCAGAAGCAATATCAAGGCTATTATATAATTACTATCACTAAGTAGGTTTCCTGCCTTCCATAGGAACACGTAATCTTCTTTGTACCACCATTCTTTTCTGTATTTGCCTGGTCAGTGCCCTCCGATCTTCTTCGCCTCCTGCCTAAAGTGATCAACTTTATTCATTAAACAATTTATTTATTCATTTACCAAATTTTTTGAGTGCCTTCCATGTACCAATGCCATGCCTCCTTACAACCGTCATTTGTACCTCTTGCTTGTTTGGCTGATGAAATCCAAAGCAGACTGATCATGGTTTACATCCTAGTGCCTCTTTCCCCATCATTCCTTTACCCCTCTTTGGGGTGGAGGTTAGCTAAGATCTCTGGAAGCTGAGCCCTCCCGGCTGCATAGAGGGTCAATGTTCCGATATATTTGCTGAGACTCCAGTTTATACTCCATCATTTCCTCTTCAGTTGCCTTGTCCGCTTGTCAGTGAGTGTGAAATGCAATGTGATGACTGCTGTCAATCTTGAAGTTTCTAAGGCAAAGAAGTGCACAACAGTAGCTGCTGCTTTCTGCAGGGAGGTAGGACTGGGCACTGTGCTTGCTATGGAATAAGTTGTTGTCAAGGAGTGAGGCAGATCCTGGGGGAGATGGTTCTGTTGTAGTGGCAGTAAGGTATCTCGTCAGTTGTTTCCAAGTCCCTGTAAGGGGGAACTGGTTAGCACCGGCAAATAAAGGAGAAAGGAAAAAGTTGAGCAGCTGTGCTTTCAATAAGTAAAGTGAAACCACCTGAAGTGAAACTGAGGGACACTGTTCTCTCAGCTCCCACACTGGGGCTCTCTTCATGGCAAGTACATGAGCCAGAAGTCCATGGAACAATCTCTATAGCCTTGGCTATCTGCCTGAGCCTGCTGCCCGTAGATGCAGACCGATCCAGGTTGTCACGCTCCCTTATCTCTGGTGTGTAGTTGCTGCCTTTCCTTTATCTCCAACTATCCCACCCATGACATCTGATCTTTGCCAAGCCAGGTAGTTGGCACAACCCAGGACTTCAGGTTTTTTAGGGAAAGGTGTTCTCTTTCCCCATTCCACTTCCCTCTAAGAGCCAACAGAAGTGGCCAAGTCCTTTCCATTTGCAGAGCCACCATCAGGGTCAGGGTGGGACAGAGGGAGAGACCTAAAGCCACAATGTTCCACAGAGGTTTCCACTTAATGTTGGGATGACAGGGAACACCCCTGGAAGACCAGCCCAAAGAGCTACTTCACAGTCTGGCTCAAAACTCACCACCTCCAGGCAGCCTCCTTTTCTATATCTGCCCCCGACCACCCTCATCAGAGGCCATCCTGAATGACAGTGATATGTGTAGGCATGGTTTAGCTCCTCTGAGAAAGCACAGGCCCTTTAGGGGGAAGGTCCAGGCCTGCTTCAAGTTTGTAACACCCACGGTGGCTGCCACAGGGCTCTGCACCAGGTCAGTGTTTAGTAAACGTTTGCTGAATGAATCAAAGGGCTTTGGAATCACTATCACCATGAACAGTGTTTCTCTTCTACCTGCCAAGGGCTTGACTGTCTACAAAGGGCCTTGGTATCCCCTCTTCCTTTCTTTCTTGGGATCGTCTCCTCGGCCTTGCGTGAGGTTTCTGCTCTTTTGGTCTAGTGTGATTCTGCTGTGAGGCTGGGGACGATGAGGGATCTCACCCCTCAGGGGAGACCCTGAACCCACCCCCTACATACAGGGAGTGACTTGGTCCCTTGCTGGCCTCCTAGTCTACTGGGTCAGGGCCACAGCAGGCTGCAGGTGCTCACCAAAGAGAAACACCGGCGCAGGAGTGCCATCTCCCTCCAGATGGGGTAGAGCCCGCTGTCCTCGAGCCCAGAACTTCCTGCTGATTGTGGAAGCCACAGGAAGAGCAGGGGACAGTCTGGAATGCTGGTCTCTCTTGGAATTTGACCTTGACTCCCACATCCCAAGGGGTCACTGCACAGGCTCTGTGACCTTGAGCTCAGCCCCAGGGAATGGAGTTGCATGTCAAGGCTCCATCCTTCCTGATGAGCAGGAACTGCAGCCCCACTGAGCCCTGATTCTGGGCAAGTCTGTACCACCACAGGCTCCTTTCACTTACAGGCTCACCTAGCTTGTGGGGTTTATGCCTTTCATTGCATGCTCAGTTTTCCTTCCTACACTGAAGTTTGCTCATCATTCTTGGTGATTTTAACAACCACAGGGATGATTCATACCACATCCGGGAATTCCACTTGATCTTTTTTACAGCCTTACATCAGATACTTACCCCCATGATCCTACACTAGCCTTTTCCATCACCAGAAATGGCACCATTTAGAAAATTTCTTCTCTACGGCTATAGTGTTTCAATCCCATCAGATTATTTCCCCAATCTGCTGACCTAACTACTTTTTCACTCTGCCTTCCTACCGTCTTCTTCATTTGCCTCCTTATCCAGTTTAAATTCCCTCCGTGATGTGTTGTTATTATCACAGGCAGAATGCTGGCTTCCTCAAGGATGCCTGTGTCCTAATCCCCAGAACCCTGTGAATTTGTTAGCTTACCTGGCAGAGGGGAATTAAGGTTGCAGATGAAATTAGTGTTGCTAATCAATTGACTTTAGGATAGGAAGATTATTCTGGATTAGCCAGATAGGCCCAATACAATCACAAGGGTCCTTAAAAGTGGGAGAGGGAGTTAGAAGAGGGAAACAAAGGTATGACAACATGAGAAAG